ATACTAAAAGATCGCTGAATTTCGTGGAAGACGGTAGAAGTTGATATCGACCCTCTGTAAATAATAATAATGTTAATGTGGACTCAACTTAATGGTATAAATTGGGTTGAATTTCAGTACGATGTATGATGAAGAATACAGGAAACTTTTCAGCACATGAAATACATAAGGATATTTTTTAATCTTACTGAATTCAGGGTCTAAAATGCCGTTGGACGGTTGGGGGGGGGGGGGATCAAGGGGCCCCGCTCCAATAATATGCCACGGGCCCCGCGGAACGTTAATCCGGCCCTGGCTATGCCAACTGTATATCTACATATATCCATCATATATATCTATCTATATATACTATAATCGTATATAGTGTCTGCGATATGAGTCTGAAATCGCGGCAAACTTCGAAGTCACAAAATACAAGACCTTTGTTTGATGTTGAACAGTACCTCACCGTTCACAAATGCTTTTTCTCAACTTTATTAATAATTCATCGTCGATGCACTTTCATCTCAACTATCCCTAATGGATGGTTTCTTAATTATACGTAATTACAATGAGCTGAATGACCGTGACCGCGTACGTACCAATTAATATGATAAGCTCAGAAGAAAACATATAGGATACATTTCTGTTTAGCTTCCAGACCATCATATCTTGATAAAGTATGGTTTGTTCCTTGATTACGTAGAAAAATGACGTCGACTGACTGACTGAGAACTATCAAATGCACCACTCTATTTAACAAGAAAATATTTATATGTTCCATGTGTAGAGCTCACGTTTGCCTTAAAATTCTCCCAATGCACAAATTCTTACGACTTGGGTACCTAATTGTAATTATCTTTTGTTAAAACCACAAATATCGCACTATAACCTCGCCATGTTGTTGCCAAACATTTTTTCTCTTTTCCTGACGATTCTAAGCTTTACAGGGCAATTCTACATCTTGAATTTTGTCATGTTATTTTATTCTCTGATCATATCAGTTTTTACACCACAAAATGCTTGACAATGCATATGTCTCTGTTAGCGAGCATCACCTTAAAATTCCTGGCTTCAACTTACTGCTAAAGAACCGTACGTCTGGTCCTCACGGGGGTGTCGGGCTTTATATAAAAAACTCCATCATGTTCAAAGCCCTCACTGACTTATTCCATCAAGAATTTGAGGTGCTTTGGACCTACATTAGACCCGCACGACTACCGAGAGGAATTCCCTGTGTCATTATTGGCACTGTGTACCATACTCATTACCCTGAAGGTGCCAGCGATAAGGCGATGTTGGAATACTTGACATCAACATTGACAACTATTGAAGGACGTTATCCCGGGTGTGGAATATTACTCACTGGTGACTTTAATCGTTTAAATATCAGTCGACTTCTCATGCAATTCAAACTGAAACAGCTCGTCAGTGCCCCAACAAGAGGCCAGCAGATACTCGATCTCATAGTTACGAACATGCCCAACCTTTATGACAAAAAATCGGTGCAGAGTTTTCCACCATTTGGCTTATCTGACCATTCAGTGTTACTGCTGCAGCCCAAAGTAAGAACTGTGCTCACCTCTAGCCATCGCTTTATTACTCGAAGAGATACTCGTTCAAGTCGAAGACAAGAACTTGGAAGATATCTGAGCTCTATCGACTGGTCCGTTCTCAATTTTGTTAATAAATGCGATGACAAACTAACACTGTTTCTTGACCTTGTTAAAATTGGCGTAGACACTATTATGCCACTCAAGTCTTTTAAATTACATGTTAACGATCCTCCTTGGGTAACTCCCGAATTCAAAAAGCTCATCAAATTACGCCAGAAAGCCTACAAACAAGGAGAACAAGAACGATTCCGCCAACTTCGCAACATCGTTAACCGTGAACGCAAAGTGCTCCGAAGCAGATATTACACCTCGAGGGTTGCGA